TATATTTAAAATAATACTGAACTAGAACCCTCCAGGCAGTGTGTGAGCTGCATGAAGTGGAGATGTTAAGTTAAGGCCCTTCTAGCAAAGGGCAACATAGAGGTAAGTGTAAACCTATTCAAAGTTTTATTAAGCTATATATTAAACATGAAGATTTGTCATAGACAAGGGGGAACAGTTAGCCTTTACATTGCCTTTTAAGTGCAGATCAAGTCAAAGCTTTTTCTTCTGGAGTTTTACATAGAGTGGGGAAGGACTAGAAGCTGTCTGCTTTGCTTTATTGGATATCTCAGGCTCATATTAGAAAGTTTTCCCTTACTTACTGACCTAGTGACAATGGTCTCACCAGCCATTTGCGGTGAGTCCACACGCTTTGCCAGTTTGAACAGTCAGGAATATATATTGAATATTGAAAAGAATAATAAAAAAACATATAAAGAACAAGAATACAAACTGGATTAAAAAAAACTTCTGAAAAAAAAAAAAACACCTCAACAAACACAAAGCACACAGCACTGCATCTTTGCAATTTCTTAAAGACTTCCCGCTGACTCCAAAATGTAAAGGAGCTGCACAGTAATTACAAATTTTCCCTTGGAAAGCAAAACCTGAGAGTGGTAGTCAAGGGGTTGATAATGCAATGAAGAAACTAAATTTACTACTTTCCAATGATTATGGCATTTGGGTAGTTATTTGTAGGATTTGATTCTGAATACAATTCCAAATGTACACAGTCCCTAAACCCCTTCATTTTGAATAATTTTGAGATGAATTTAATAAAAAAATATAAAGAACCTTCACAACAAACACAAAGAATATTTTATTTTAAAATTAAACTGCATAATGTGACAAACAATTTTCCCAATTTGCACAGAATAAATTTTCCCCAATTTACATTTACATTATTAGCAATGTACTTTTACCAATACATTTCAAGGAAGCAGTGCTTTGTTACTTGAACAGCAGAAAAATTCAGCCTTGTTTTGTAGTTTACAGAATATTCACCTGTTTTCTACCAAAAAATTTAACAGACAAACCAAAACGATGCATGAAATGTATAATGCCTGGGCATCTTAGGCAGGGACCCTAAAATCACCGTGATCCTTCTAAATGGTGGCTACGCCAAGTTCAGTAGAATTTCTGATGTTTGCACTGCTATGGAATTTCCCAAATTTTAGCATGTTACTTGCTACTGAAAAATATACTTTATAGGTCAAATGATCTACATGCTACAAAGATCCCACACCATAACATCACATTATTTACTGTACTTCTATAGCAAATATTTAGCTCTCTACCAAATAAACCAAAAAACATTAAATGGCCCCTGCACCCATAGCGCCTAAAATCTAATATCACAGCCACATCCTAAAAACACAACCACACTAGGACCCTTGTCAAATTCCAATAAACCAATCAATTTACCAACTTATTTTTCAAATAATCGAGATAAGTGGTGCTAATTGAGAAAGACCCTGCAAACATAGGGAGAACATACATGCTCTATGCAGCTAATGACCATAGTTGAAACTCTGGGCCAGGTGCAGCAAGGCAAAACTGCTATCTATAATTAGAAATTGTAAAAAAAGACCCAACCATTGTTTGCAGAGATCACATCAGAGGGAGGTTACTATTTGCTACTGCTATTTAGAGGTTACCTGCAATGGACAACAAGCAGAGTGCAAAGTGTCTAACAATGCTTTGCCTAAAAATGCTACTTATCTGCCTGGGGCTTCTTTGTACACCAAGGTGGAAACATCATTCCTTTTGTATAGCTCAGAAACCTACAATTTACATTTCACCCACAAAAAGGTATCTACAGAACAAGTTAAGTTTAAAGTATCTTTTCAGGACAGACTTTGTTCTACCAAAGCATTCACGTAAGGATGGGTCCTACTTGCTAACAGGTGCTGAGAAGAGGTAATGCCTACATGTTATTAAAGAGACCCGGCTCCAGCTCCTGCGGTGCCCCGGTCAAAAAGGAGATATGCCTCCTGTTATTAAACAGAGGGGTCCCAGTCAAGAAGAAGATTGTTTTGTTTGGATACCTCCAATAAATGGCCTTTGTAACATGAGCTCAGACATGGTTGCGACTGCTGCCCTGTTCTGATAACATGGAAAAGCAGGTGACTATGCCCTGTTTATTATAAAAAAAAAAGTAATGGTGCCAGGTCTTGAGACTGAATTATACACAAGCACTGATGTCCCACACTCCAAAGACATGCTGGTAGGTTAATTGGATCCTGTCTAAATTGGCCCTTGTATATGTATAAATGTGAGTTAGGAACCTTAGATTGTACACCCCTTGAGGGTTAGGGACTGATGTGAATGTACAATATATATGTAAAGCGCTGCGTAAATGGACGACGCTAAGTACCTAAAATAATAAATAAAATAAATGTGTAATTCAGGGAGGGAAATTCTCAGATAAGATTTCATGAAAATAACGAAGAATACAAAAAGGCTTTCTGTGATCAACATAGTCGCCAGAATGACAAAAAACAGTATGTATGGCCAAAAATGCTTCCGCACCATAGTATTAACTACTCCACCAAGATTAACAAACTCATCCTTGCCTAGCTCACGTTTCAATCTGTTCATGTCAGACATTGGACAAGCTGTTTAACTCAAGGTCCACCACCCTCAAAAACAGCAAAGGTCCACCCAAGCATGCCTTCAAATCTAATCACTCATTAAAACCGCTTGAAAAAAGCTATTTACAGGATCAGAGCATATAACAAACCATCGTGGTAGATAAAGTTAATTTATATCAGTCTTTCTCAACCTTTTTACCGCAGAGGAACCCCTAATATATAATTTTTAGGTCTTGGAAAACCCTTACAAAAAACAAAACCAGCAATTGGGGTGAAATGAGAAAAATGTCCATTATATGTGTCGTAAGTAAAAAGAATGGAACCTGTACAGTGGTGGCCAGAATGCCATCCTTGAATACAGTTAAGAGATCATTGGTGTCTTGCTGCTGGCTGTGCCAAATGGTCTTGGTCCCAAAACTATGCAGCCTCTATCAAGGAGGAGGGAATTCAGCCACAGCTCAAGGAATCCCTAGCAACCTCTGGAAAACCCCTAGGGTTCCAAAGAAACCTTGCTGAGAATGGCTAATCTATAGGGGAAATTTTGTAAGGAAAACTTTGTGGAGGGCCACAGTACATGACTAATTTTAAAGTGAGCAAACAAAATCAATCATGAATCCCGAAAACATGGTTATGTGTAATCATGAACAGCTTTCGTCATTTGAATACGACTTCAAAATATGTAGTAGTTAGGGGATAACTGTTGCCGCATGCAAATATGTTCCCAAAGCATAGCGACTGAACTAATCATAGTGCTCATGCAGCATAATTTTATATCATTCCTTCCAAATCCTTTAGGTGCAAAGGATTGCTCAGTTGCGCACAAGAAATATGTAACACTTGCAACGTGATGATGAGCCATGTTTTAAGTGGTCAACCCTAGACAATAGTCCAGATTTAGGTATAAAAAAAACCTAAATGACAGAGCCGTACCAGTCATGTGTGACCACAGGGGTACCCTAAAAATTAGCAAGGGGCAACTGTTAAAAAACAAAAAAACCCACACAAACCATCTCTACAACTGGTGTCTAATACAATATTACAAAATAATTAACATGCAGAGCAAGATTTTTTTTAACACGTAACCATCTTTCGTTTTATGTAAAAAAAAAAATCAAACAAGAGCATTAACTGGTTTTCACAGAAAACTCCAAAAGTGTCCCTACAAACACATAGTAAGGTTAATTAATTAAAACTAGAGAAAAGAAAACAGTTGTGAACATTTTCCAGGATTTACTATGCCGTTTGTAACCTGCACCCTCCCTTGCACTATATACAGGTTTCTATAAACAAGGCCGACTCTGCCTAAACGTCAACAGGTCAAGTCAAGACAGGTACTCCTTGGTAAGGAAAGTGACAGAGTTAATGAGAGCTTTTCCTCAGCTTTTTCTCCCATACTCAAGCCTGTGTACTGCTGACGTGCGAGACAAACTCTGGAAGGATGCTGCAAGTCGTTAATCCCCAAGCTACACACTGCTTCTCCTATGACTATAAATGAAGATCCTGTTCATTCATTAAAACCACAAAAATCCTATGTACTATAAGGGCTTCACCACACAAATACTTTTCTGTGCTACCTGGAAACCACTTGACGTATTTTGCAGAACCACATTCAACTGATATTAATGGAGAAAACCAAGACAATAGAAAAGGAGCCTGTGCATGCATGTTTCAACACATCTGGCACTTTGGCACATATTCTTGTTCCCCACTTGGGTAACAAAAAGCAACCTGGACTGGAAATAGGGTTTAACTGAACTCTAAAGCGTCTGCCTGTAAACATGGGTCAGGAAGAAAGGGAACCAAGACAAAAGGACAATGTCAAGTTTTACACCTCAGGTTCTGTTGCATATTTCAAGGCAAAGCAAAATACTGTAAAACCTATTTCACATATTAACCTCCCTAGCGGTCTGATTATGTCCATATTTCTGTGCTCAAAGCGGTACATTTTTTTGCATGTAAATATGTATTTTTTTTTATTGTAGGCCTGTAATTTTTAGGAATAACTCACTGAAATCTGTCCGAACAAGAGTCTAGTAAACATTCCAGGTATGATAAAATTTGAAACACGAAATCATAAATTATAATTTAATAAATAATCATAAAAAAAACATAATAAATTTAATTCAGTAATATAATCAAAACAAAAACACTGAAATTTGAAATATAGCGCCAAGTTCGCACATCACTGAGCAAAGTTGCAAAATCATTTTCAGTGTCTGATAACGTATTTCCCCACGAATCATTATCACTCAATTCTGCAAGTGGTTCTAATTTACTATCGCTGTTCTCTAGCTGGTCTAAAACCGATTTTGACCTAAAAGGGACGCTTTTTTTTTGGACGCCATGGACGTTTCTCAGTTTCCAGGCAGAAAGAACAGTAAAAATGAAGGCAGGGCACAGGACAAAATGTATGTGAAATGGTTTGATCCAGTAATGTGAATTTAGTGAATGTCACTTTTTGTCATTTTCAAATTTCCCGCTGTTCCGTCCCCGTACGTCCCGACGTGACAGGGGACAGAACCCAGAAGACAGATGCCGGCATCCGCTGGGGGACACTGCAGGAGGGACATCGCGGGAGCGCAGGACAAGGTAAGTGAAGAACAGATCCCGCAGCAGCGCCGCATGGTAAGCCCGAGTATAGCTCAGGGTTACCGCTTGTGGTACTGAAACTCTACCCCGAGCTACACTCATGAATACCGCCAGGGAGGCTACAGTGGTTGTAAAGGTTCATGGTTTTTTTTACCTTCATGCATTGTATGCATGAAGGTAAAAAAACATTCTCTGTGCAGCAGCTCTCCCACATATGCACCTAAACCCCCTCTGGATCCAGCGATGTGCGCTGAAGTCTCAGCTATCCTGGGAATCCCTCTCCTTATTGGCTGAGAAAGCCATTGGCTCCCACTGCTGTCAATCAGAGCCAGTGAGAAGAGAGAGCGGGTGAGGGCGAGCCGCGGCTCATGTATGAATGGACACACAGAGCAGCGGCTAGGGAGTGTGCATGCTCCGGTGCCCCCCCATAGCAAGCTGCTTGCTGTGGTGGCACTCGACAGGAGGGAGGAGCCAGGAGTGCCGGGGGGGGACTTGAGAAGAGGAGAGGATCCACGTTGCTCTATGCAATACCACTATACAGAGCAGGTAAGTATAGACATGTTTGTTATTTTAAAAAAAAAATTAAGCCTGTAGAAACACTTTAAGCCACACAAGAATGGCAACCACTACAATTTATAACTAGCTTTTGAGAGGTGTGCATTGCACACTACAAACAACCTGAACGTATCTCGGCACTTTTACAAGCTAATTTACATCAACAATTTACATTAAAAAAAATTTTAGTTGCAAACATTTGCAAATATATAATGAAGCTGAACTGCTTCTGTAAAGTGCGGCCCTAACTTTTAAATTTCAGATTCTCCAAGTTGCATCATAAACAACAGTGGATAAATTAAAGGCAGGTATGCCTGGAGGGAGCCCATTCCTCCTTAAAACGCACCGGGACACATTAGAAGCCCAGCAAGAGCCACACCTGAAAAAAAGGGTGACTGATGCAAAATGCTATTACAAATGGTATGCCAGGACTTCAGCAGGCGAGACCAGCAATAAGACCAACTTTCATGTGGTCATGCACTTCTGGTAATGGCAGAGAGTGGTAGGTAGTAGAAACGGATAACAGTTGTAGAACAGAACGGGTGAGGTGGTGAACTGGTTTGCATTTTTTTTGCTGAGAGCCCAAGAGCTGCAGCTAAGACATAGGAAAGAACGGTTCGGGGAACTAACTAAGCTTCATGCATCAGTTAGAATGGTGCAGGAAACTAACAGAAATGGCATGTGCCACATTAAAGGCTAAGTTCACCATTACAGAAAAAAAATAATAAATGCACTTTTTTTTGCAGAAAAAAAAAATGTGCATTTGTTGTCATTTCTTGCATGATCCTGGAAAGATCAGTAGATCACGGGTGCAATGTGGGATTCTACAAACACGGCATCCAGCCTTCAGCCTGTATCTCTGTACAGGCAGTCTGAAAGACAGTAGACATGTAAGTGAACTATAAGAGCCCCCGCAACCCATTGGAACTATAAGTCCATCCCCCCGTGGTGGAAGACAGTACTTGTAGTTTATTCATTCACAGGAATCTATGAATAAATTACACAGCTGTTGAGGTGGAGCCCTGCACAGCCAGACTGTTTTTAGAAAGTGACAGCAGGTATAGGGAGAAGAACTCCCATCTGCTGTAATGGGGGGGAGGGTGTAGGCGTTGGAACATATTACCCATTTCACCCTAAATATGGGTGGAACATCTAACATGTTCCAAAAGGTGTGCTATTTCAGCATTAAATAGAAAGTAACGCAGGTCTGCAACTAACAGGAGGAAATTCTGCAGTTTTTCTTAAAAATATATACATTAGGTTTTTCGGGTTTTTCTTTTAAAGAAAAATACAAAAGGAAAAACAGCCCACAACAGCTACAAAGCAAGCAAAGTGCCTTCACAGAATAAAACAAAGCAGGCAGAATATGTATAATCAACAGTTTTCTATGTAGAAAACTGCAGCAGAATCCCGCCAGGTGTGACTTTGTCATAGGGATGTCAGCTGTCAGTAGTCCTCTCCCAGAGATTACGGTAGTTCCTGCAGCTCCAGCTCTCCGTTCTCTATGCTGTGCTTGAGCCTCTTCTGTTACTTAGGAGTAGCATTTGCTCCATTTTTTTCCGTTTAGAAGAGTGGTGCACACTTGTGCTTGCACAACTCTTCATTATTCCCTCCAATGTGCATAATAGAAGAGACAAGTTGTCTATCTTGGCCTGTGAGCTTCTATCCTCCCCATAACCTGGCTTCATTTTATAAAAACAAAGTCTCAAGCATTAAACTTAATTACCCAAGTATTCTGTAAAATGTTAAAGAGAATCCTGCACGCTGACCTTTACCCAGAGAACAGAATGCCTTTTTTTGGATATAGAACAATATGTGATCTCCAGATGTTCTCAGAAAAACAAAGAGAAATCACTTTAATCTGATATCACTGACATTTTCTATGAGCCACTCGTTTAAAATTTGCAGAGACAAGATAAAAACGTACCATGAAAGCAAAATAATGTTCTTTGTAATTGTATTTTTACTGTATTGGGAAAAGAAACTACTAAATGGAAATTGTGTATTCAGAGCGATTATTTTCAGTTATAACTGTAGTTGTATCCGAACGTCATTTGTTATACATTCCACCTTTGTTACTGCAATGTAGCTTAATTTTCATTTGAGAAATATGTATAAAATGTGCTTTACATTATATTGCTTTTAGATATGCAAACATAAATAAGGTTTTTAAAACACAGGCACGCATCATTTACATTATACAGTACCATAGAGGCTCCTACATGGACTCTGAACCACTAAACTTATCCAGAATCTCAGTAGAGGGCCGACTAAAAGCTTACAAAGCTGCCTTCCTTAATTATTAGAAACCCAACATGAAAGCGCCAATCTCAGGGCTTTGATAATTTATCACTCATTCACTAGGCAAGACCCATTTTACCTTTTTGAGAGGTGTCAGTGATAATGATCTGTGGGGCAAGTTAGTATGGGAGAGCCCATTTGCCCTGATCTAATATAGCCCACCCTCTCCCTCCACAGATGCATACTTACCGTCTTATAACGTCCCAAGCCTCTGGCGTTTGCATACATCTCGGCCATCCCTGTACATTACAGCCTCATCTCCCTTCGTCTGGTGCCTCGGGACTCAGCCCTTTAGAATATGGAGCTGTAAAGTGAAGGCGGGGCCAGTACAGTGATTCTTGGTGCACCAGATATAAACAAAATACTGGAGACCACAATCATTGGATTGAGGTCAGCATGCATCTATGGTGGGGGAGGGAGAGGTAGGGTAAAAAGGGAAAAGGGATAAGTACACCTAATTTTAAAGTCCACTTATCGTTTTCAAAACTATATGCCTCTTATGTCTTCAAAAAGTCTATTTGAAATTTCTCTCTTCCCATCTCTTTGTTGGAAGGACACATGAGATAATATGGGACAGGATATGGCACCATTTTCCAGTAAGGAGTCACATGAAAATATGCCTAGGGCAACACATCTGGTCACAAAAAAGGGGGTCCTGGTATATAACTGATCAATGTGCTAGTGTGGTTGACACCAGTGCATAAGGCAGAAGTCCCCTTTAAGATGTTGGCAATTCTCTTAAAGAAGTTCTTCAGCCAGGTTTAAAAAAACTGAAAAACAATTCAAATACTGTAGCCGCTGACTTTAAATAAAAGGACACTTACCTGTCCAGGAATCCAGTGACGTCCTCAACTGGGCCAGTTCTTTGCTGATCGTCGGGTCCCCGGCATGTTTAGTACGGGAAGCTGGCTGTGGCTCATTGCCGTTTGACAGCTTGCTTCCCATCGTGCTATACTGTGTGAAGGGCCCAGCAGTATTCTGGGACCTGTGACTTGTCCCAGAAGGTTGCGAGCAGGGAGGGAGAGGATAGAAGCAATTTCAGAGGAAGTGGCGAGAGGGTACCTGAAACTACCCACCCCCAAAAAAAGGAAAAAAAACATCCAAAAGCAGAGGAACTGAAAATCCACAAATACAAAATAACACATTTTATATTTATCTAGCAAAAACCTAATCCTATTTATGTGAGAATCTTTAATAAACAATTTTGTTCAGGGTGGATAAAAATCAATGATTTTTTTTAAAAAAATTAAAAAATTAAAAAATAATTAAAAATCGGATTTTTTTTGATTTAAATCAGATTTTTTTTAATAAAATGCTTTTTGAGGAAAATATATTACCATCCAAAGGTTATTCCATCATGAAATAAAGATTATTTTTTTAATTATGTAGAATAAGGCTGTATATGTTTAATTTTTTTGCTAAATAAATTCCATTAATCCATTCACAATGTCATGCTCTTCCAGAGGTTTTTGTAAGATTATTGGGCAGTTTCTCTGCCTACAAGATATTATCACAGATGCTTGGTTTACTTTTGCAGTTCTCAAAACTGAATTTGACTCAGCAGAGATCACATGCCTCTTCTTCACAGCAAAAATGTTATAACATGAACAGAGTTAAGAAAAAGACCTTAATCCTAACTTCTACAAACCTATGAATACAGAATCAACCCCTTCAGTGCGAAGTTTCAAGAAGTTCAGTGAATAGAATAGAAACAATATTTTTTGGATTGTTTGGAGTGGAATAGATCTGCACAAGAAGAAAGTGAAACTAAGTGTGAGGAGGAAGGGGCTGACAGTCTAAGTTTCTTAAAATATATATATTTTGTTTAGCCAAATTAGTTACAAAACATGGATGTTTGTTTAAGCAAATAATATATGCTGGAATGTTATTGTTTCAGTTGAATAAATCTATTTAAATTGTTATTAAGGTAATGATTATTTTTCTCCTTCCTAAGTACAACAGAAAAGTTGTCTAAATATGAATGATTAACCTATTAAACTGGGGATAAAAAAACTAATATGAAAAGTTGTTATTCTAAAAATCTTCACCTACTTGCATATTAAACGTTATACCAGCAAGAATTAGTCTTTATGTAGAAAACTAGGATTTAAATCAAGCCTTACTGACTAGTCATTTAAATCGTGATTTAAATCAAATCCACCCTGATCTTGTTAATACTGTAAATCAGTTACAAATGGCATCACACCAATATTTCTATAGGGTACTGGCATTTACCATATGCCATGCAAGCAGCACAGACTTGTTTG